AGCACTGGACAGGATGAACACTTTTGTACTATTTTTAGTCCCTTTTTTTTCTTGTCTTAAATTAGCTCTCGTGTTCCTTTGTTGTTAATTTTTTTTTTTTGCAGCTGGAGATTTTGACAGTCTTTTTTTTTTTTTCTTTTCGGGGGCCTTGGAATCTCATTGCACTCCAGCTAAACATCACAGCTGTTTGCCTGAAAACAGAGAGAGAGAGAAGTGGGCAGAGGATCAAAGCCCAGGGAGGATTTGTCTGGCAGATAGTCGCTGGGGTCCTGCCTGTGTAGACACTCACTCTCTCGCTCATTCCGTGTCTTTATCTCGCTCTATGTGCACACCACAAGGTTGCACCCTCGCATTGCCAGCTTAAAAATTACAGATCATGAGAAAAAACAACAAAAAAAAAACACACATCAGCACAGTGCAGTCACAACAACCTCCTCCCTGCAACAATTACCCCCTTTAATACGGCGCACATGCACACGGTGTCAGTTGTTCCCTTTCATCTAAGTGCCTGGCGTTGCGCGGGTTTTGATATCGGTTGGTATTTATTCCCGCATCTTTTGATATTGTAAATAATTGGCCGGCTTGATTTCGAAACCCTGCAGAGTTGTTATCAAAAGAAGCCTCTGCAGGACCATTTAAAGTCTGGGATCACATACACAAGCCTCTAGCGCGCACGAGGAAGATAATCCCAACAATAAACGATATAGAATTCAGGTTGTCTTTGGGTAAAAATAACTCCCATGCAAGAACTGAATGTGTTTATTTCCATCTAAGGTCAGCGTGTTCACCAAAAATGTTCTTTCCATACGGTCTCTTCATGAGGTTTTGTGGCATATTGGTAGTGGGGGGGTGGCTCAGATGTCTGTTTTGAGCAGAAAGACACGCCCAGAGAATGGATATAATTAAGACTTGTGCCTCTTTTTTTTTTTTTTTGTGAGTAAGGAGGGTGTTTGGGTAACTGCTCTGGGTGGTCTAGCTCTACATGTCTGCGCTAGTTTTATTACAAACAGGCACAATATGGTAAGAACACAGACGTATACTGACAAAGATTAGCGTATGCAGCGCGACATGAATGTAGACGTGTTTCCTCCTCTGGTTCCCCTGTCGGTTATTTGGCACCAAAAAAAAGATCAAAGCAGTTGGCAAGACATACCTGACATTCATAGATGTGCACTTAAAAAGAAAAAACACTCGTTTGCTTTACAACGGTGCGTTCAGCATTTCGTAACTAACTTCAGCCTTCATCCGAGCCTTTATTTAGGCGTTGAATAGAAGCCAGATGATCCGAAAAAGGTTATTTATTTTCTTTGTGCACTTATGCAGCTCAGAGAACAAAAACACCTACTAGACTGGAGGATTTTTTTTTCAGTCAAGGGCAGACATCTCTTACTCTTGTCAAGTATCTCCAGCTTTGTTCTCTGCCAGTTTAGTACACACAGGGTACAGAACTGATCGGAAATTGTTCATTCATAACATCCAGCCTGGATTATTGCTTAACCCTGTCGCCTCTCTGTGCTGTTTGGTGGAGAGAAGAGGGGGGTCACCAGGAGGTTTTAGCATCTTGTGACTGTGTTGTATGATCCCACTGCTTTGGGATCAACACCCTGATGACACTGTCGCCTCTTAAAACTGAGCTTTTTTCCTCCTTGACATGCGAAGTCCCCTACGATGACTTATTATATGAATTGGAGCTATGTTACTACTTGAATTAGAAAATAGAGCGCGCAATTTGAAAGCTCTCGTGCTAACTTTATCAACCAATGATGCGTTTTGGGGGGAAAATCAAGACAAATGGAGGATTCTTTGCTCTCAGCGTCGTTCGAATCAAAGCTAAAACACGTATAATTGCTTCTATTCTGACACATTTGCAAACAACTTGTAATTTATACAAGACTTCCTTGACTTTGTGGAAAAAAAAAAGAACTGCAATGGCAGGCGATCCCACAACAAGGGCTTTTCCAGCAGTCAATCCTGATTAATAGCGTCTTCTCGTTAACACATAAACACCCAGTGTACCGTCAAACCCTCGAACGTCTATTAATTTGCGACGTTTTTTTTTTTTTTTTCTTCCCCTTTCGCGTGAATGGGCTCATTGAAGTCGGCGCAGATTTTTATTGCCGCATTTTGTTTTGAAAACACATGGGTGGTCCTAGTTTCTTTTTTTTTTTTAATGCAGTGAGAATATAAATTGGTGACTGTACCGGGGCTTTAATGATGGAGGTGCCCTCCCTGGTCTCAGCCAGTGTGTTTGCTGGAGCAGAAAGAAGGAGATGGGAGTAGGAGAGAGACAGAGAGGGGAGAAAAAAAGAAAAGAAACAATGAGGGAGGTGGGAGAGAAATGATGAGGAAGTGGTTAAAAAAAAAAAAGATGGTAGGAAGCAGCATACCATAGAAAAGAGCAGTAACTGAAGGTTACATTAAACAGAAACAGTAAATTACATGTATATTCTGGCAGATGCAGGCAATTGAACAGGGGAGAAGTTTTAGAAAGAAAAACGAGGAGGAGGAGGAGGAGGAGGGAAGTTCTTAGGCGGCATAAAAGGTTTAATTTCTCCTTCGGCTGAAGTGAGCAGCTTTCCTGTGCTGCCCCGTTTCACCGTATTTAACATCAAAGTGAAGTATGAACAATTGAGGCAATTTTTCATCCGGCCAAGGTCAATCATTGTTCTTTCTGTGTGAATGTAGATCCGGCTGAGAAGAATTCAGAGGAACCATATTTCACTGGCGAGTCAATTTTAGCGAGCCACCTTTTAACAACCTTTTGGGGTTTTTTAATCTTATTGTTGTTTTTGTAAATTTGTAAATCGCTTTTTTTTTTTAAATATTGTAGCTGTAATTACTTTCCAGGTTCATTTATTACAGCTGTGGTGTCTTTTTTTTCCTTTTCATGCAAGCTGCGTCTAGACTGCTTTGAATAAAACATGCAACTGGCTGCGTGTAAAATGAAAGCAGACCGACGTGTGGATAAAGGATTGCCGCTGCTGCGTATAATAAAGTGTCAAAGTTGAAGTTGGGGTTAAATTCCGCACGCTGAGTTATAACGTAGTGCGCTTAAACACGCCGTTCAGACTTCTGGAAATCTTTACTAACTTGCTTTTGCTAAATCTGACCAACGCACTCCGGTTTGTGCCAAATACGGGTTTTGAACCAAAGAAGATGGAAGTAAAAAGGAGGGACGCCTTACAACTCGGCACAGCAGGGCGTCTAAAGGAATCATTAATACGGCTAAAGTGGCTTAAAAAAAAAAAAAAAAGCATTTATATGACTTCCAGAGGAACTTTGATGTGTGTGTTGACCACAAACGAACCGGCAGCGTTCGGAGTACACAGTGTGACTCATTATTTGTCACAATGGGAGGCCAAATGGTGCTTGAATCAAAGAAAACATCAGGGGGGGGAAAAAAAATCCAAAACAACATGACTGACTAACGGAAAAACCGTGAGGTGATTAACGGCTAAACAACAAATAGTGTATATCGTAACACAATAATACTGTTTATTTTTCTTTTTTTTACATTTATTGTTACAACAGCAACACATCTCATCGTCAGAGCTGCTGTGATTTTTTTCCTGATGCTCCAGCGTGGAGTTTTCTTGCTCCATTAATTAGACTTAATCTCCATTTTGATTCGCCGAAGGTGCCGAAAGTAATTTCTGTGAAATCTAACACTTAAGCAGAATTATTATCAGGACCAGGAAGAAGTTGTACCGCTGCATACTTTCAAGATGACGAGTATAAATTAGAAAATGAATTTTGAATTTTTAAGCGGAAAAATGTCATTTTTATCAACTTGCTTTTTTTTTTTTTAAATTTTAACATATTTACATCAAACAATCAATAATCCAAGAAAATAATGTGCATTTTTCCAGCTAAAATTTCTCTCCCTCTTTTTTTTTTATTCTTTTTTTGTCTCATTTTGGTAAAGAAAAGTAAAAACTACAGCGTTAGACATGTAGACGTTCTGGTTTAGTCATTCTGCTTCCTATCAGCATCTTTGAAATTAAATTAAATGCATGTTTTCCACTTTGTTAATTATGTTTCTATACTACACGTGGCAAACAGTCTATTATGCTATTAGCTGAAGGCTACATTAGCTACCTCCTGCTGCGTCTCCAGGTTGTACTGATTTTTTTTATATTCCCTTTCCATCTGGTCAACTTAAGATTTTTACACTCAGAAATTCTATTTGATAGTTCATTCTGTCTTGGCGCTCATCCCTCTCAGCCTCTTGGTTCTCTGGGCATGTCAGACACCCGCCTCTATATAATACATTACAGTCGTAGTAATCCGGCACTTCTTCATTGTGCTGCGTGGACCACATAAAAGCACGTCATTGACGTAGCAGCTTTATTAGAAGAGACATAAGACACAATCAGCGGCGTGTTTCATCCAGGTCTGATTTACAGACTGCAAAGCGACCTCAAAGGCTGATTCCAAGTGATACCGAGGCGCGTATACTGGAGGCATTTTTCTTTCTTTCTTTAAACCATATATGCGTCTTTTTGTCTCGCTCGCTCTCTTCTTTTTTTTTTTCTTTGTTAGAGATGAATCGTGTTAATGTACACACATTTTGTCATCGTTTCTGGAGACCACCCAGCGTGTTTATAGGAACCGGCTCGTTGTACGTATAAAATCAGTTCCTTTGGAGGCGGGTGGGGGGGATGAGGTGCTGACGTATTACAGCTAATACTGCTCACACATAAGTCAGCGTTGGTGAATAATTTAGGACACGTTTCACCACATATATCCGGAAATGGAGCAATACAGAAAGCACTTAGTGTGAAAAGAGCGCGTTGAATACAGCGCAATAAAGCATTGTGTCAAGAATTTGTTGCATGTGTGTGTCTAAGTGTGTGTGCTTCCTCCCAGTTCATTCATGGAGACTTCACATCACTCTGTGTGTGTGTGTGTGTGTGTGTGTATGGCATTTTAATAACATGCTTTACCAAACGACACCTGAATTTATCCTCTGCTTTCTTCTCTGTTTGTTTTCTGCCCAGGTCCAGACATGAAGGAGGCACGCAAGCACATTCACACACACACACACACACACACACACACACACACATATTCAGTTCAATGGCACCTACAGTCTGTCTGCGGTCTACCACCACCCTGCCCCTCACACACACACACACACACACACACACGCCTGTTACGGTAAGAATCAGAGACCACCGAGTCGGGAGGGTAATAACGGCACAAATGTGAGAAAACAAACTCATTATCTGCTGCTGTTTTCCTTCTCCGAGTAATTAAAGACAAAATTTCTATTCCTGAATGTGTCAAATTCTAAAAAAAAAAAAATAATAATTTACTTCAATGACAACACAAGATTTAGCTTCTATTTAACAAGAAATGTTTTTAATTCTAATTCACGCGAAACAATTTCATTCGTGTCCGTAATGCGTCCATGTGTGCACGCTTTCTTTTTTTTTCTTTCCTATTACCGTCTTTCAAAACCAATCCACAAGTTTAACAGCCGCACCACATATCCCACAACCTCCCTCCCTCCCTCCCCCCCACCCTCACTCCCTCCTATCCAACCTTCCCCACCCGCCCAGTGCCCCTCCCAGGCTTCCCAGCATCCTGCTTTGCACACCCTCCAAAAAAACCATGCGTGCTGAAATTACAGTGTGTGTAGCGGCATTGTGGGAAACCCTTCCCTCCCTCTCGCTCACTCACTCACTCACTCACTGCTGGATTTGCCCTCCTTATCTTTTTCCTCGCTCTGCTACTGTTTTGGAAAAGGTTCGGGCGAGGTTTATTTTAATTTTCATTAAAGTGCCGCGCGGTGATAATTTGCGGCTAAAGTTCAGAGCGAGGTTAACAAGGTACGAGTCCTAAATAAGATTGGCCTCTTTGTATTGATTCGTCTTTTTTTTTTTTTTATTTGTTGGCCTTGAATAATTACAGTTAGGATGATGGTCTGCCCTGTTTTTATGTCATTTTCTGAACTCATTAGCATACGACGGCTATACCACTACTAATTAATTAACCTTCCGTTCAGTATGTTGTCACACTGAGGCGTTAACAGTATGGTCGATTTAAATGTGAGTTCATGGCCGACATCGTGCAGATGGAGGTATGATGAAATAGATCCCAATTTAATGGCAAACAAAAACTGGTGATAGAAAGTACGGTGCCGCTTTTAATGAAGCTACTTAAATGAGAAAGACTCTTGGCTTCCAGCTTCAGGTTAACTGACGGCACCGCCCTCGCAGCGACCGTGTTACTAACCAGCTGTAATGATACACTCCATCAGTTCGGCTTTGCCTGCGCGGGGGCTATTGGTTAACAGTCGGCCGAGGTGCAGCCCGACCGTGTGTGTGTGTGTGTGTGTGTGCAGCAGCTATTAAAGCACTTGAGAGTCAGAGAGGAAAGGACTCACACTGCAAATGGATGTGTCTATTGATGTTCCCATTTAGCAGCACACTGTAAACGATAGGGCAATGATTGTGTTTAAGACGGAAGGAGGTGGAGGAGTGGAGAGCGGTTTGGCTGGGCGATGATAATGACAAGGAAGGTTATTATTTGGCGCCCCATGGAGTCTCTCTCTCTCTCTCTCTCTGCTTTGTGTCTGTGTGTGTGTGACGGAGAGAGAGAGAGAGAGAGAGAGGCACTCTTCCTCCATGCCTCTCGCCCCTCTTGCTTTCCCATCCTATTGGCTATTATTCACTTCTCGCTTTTTCTCCTCCGGTCCACTCTTCATGGCATTACTCGCTGCTGCTGCTGCTGCTGCTCGTCTACATCCATTTGCGGCGTTTCTCTTTTCACCACATCCGCCTCTATTTCCTTTTTCTCAATGGCCTTCTCTCGTTTTTTTTTTTTCCCCTTCTTTGCTTTTGTGACGGTAAATAAAACGAGACGGAATAATGCAAGAAGAGGCAGCAAAGTAGTTTCTTGTTATAAAATTTTTAGGATAGCAGGTTGCACTTGAAATATTGATGTACTCACCAGTAGTTTTTTTTTTTTT